TAATAAATTACAAAAAAAAAAAAAAATCACTTTTCCTTGTTTTATCTCGAAAAACGGGTTGTTTCAATGTTTTTAAAATTTTAAATGATGATAAAAATACACATAAAAAAAGAGGAGGGAAGGAAGTGAGGGGAGGGTAGGGGAGGAACGAATCAATCGGTACGGAATACGGGGGAGGGGGATAAAAAAAACAAACAAACAAACAAAAACCATTAAAAACGCGTTTTAAAGGTTACGCTATACTGATCTTGTTTATTAGCAAGTTGGTTGTTGGATATATCATATTTCTACGCGTGTCCGCTTTTCTACGGCTATAAATAATATAGTTTCCTCTTCCTTTTATCCTCTACTACCACTACCACTACCACCACCTTTTACCCAATCTCTACCCCCCTCGTCATATGAGCATGTAATTTATACATTTCTCTTGTTTTTGTTTAATTTCGTGCAATCGTTTCGAAAATTGAAGTTGAAATTTTATCAAATTATTATTATTATTTTTTTTTTTTGCCATAGGAAACAACTCGTTATAAAATAATGATTTTGTCACGAGAGAGAGAAAGAGAGAGAGAGAGAAAAAGAGAGAGAGAGAGAGAAAGAGAGAGAGAGAATGAAAGAGAGAGAGAGAGAGAGAGAATGAAAGAGAGAGAGAGAGTGTGTGATTGTATAAAAAATTTTTTAAAATATTATTTTTTTTTTTTGGTAAAAGACATTTTCCCTCAACAAATAAATTTTTTTTTTTTTCATCCCCTATACGATAAAACAAATCCAAATATAATAATAATAATAACAATAATAATAATAATTAATTAATTTGTTCGTATTTAAAAAAAAAAAAAAAAAAATTTAAATATTTTTCCTAAAAAAAAAAACAGAAAACAAAACGGGGGGTTATAATAATAATAACAATAATAATTTTTTTTTATTGTCGGTTGTTCACGCTTAACTTTTCTCTCTCTTTCACTCTCTCTCTCTCTCTTTTTTTTTTTATTTCATAATTTCCATAATTTTATTTTCTTTACACTTAATGAAAAAAAATTTCTAACGGTTTTTTTTTTTTTACATAAAAGAAAAAAAAAAAAAAAAACGAGAATTAAAACTTTCTAATATTGTTTTATTAATGTTTTTTTTTTGTACATTTTATTAGTTTGCATTATTAAAAATAATAATATTACTACCCTCTAATAATAATGATAATAATAATAAAATTATTAATTTTTTTAGATATATAAATATTTATTTTATTTATTATTAACAAGAAAACGGAAAAAAAACAAAACATTTTCTTTATCAATAATTAAATTAAATTAATTTTTTTTTCTTTATTTCTTTCCTCAAGCATTTAACAATATAAATAAACGATAATAATAATAATATTGATTTTTACTCTTCGTTTAATCACTTCCGGTTATTAAATTATTAAAAAAAAAAAAACTTTTAATAATTATTTCAAATAAAAAAAAACAATATCAATTTATATTTCTTAATTTAAACGATTCGTTTTTTTTTTAACGTAAAAGTATATAAAATAATAATGATGATGATGATGATGATGAATTTCTTATCGATAACGGTTTAGATATCGTTAAATAAAAATTTCCTGTTACTTATTTAAATTTGATATCAATAACATTTTATGTAAATAATAATAATTTAAACGTATAAATATAAAAAGGTTCCGTCGAATAAAACACTTCCCCCTCCCTTCCCTTCCTTCCCCCTCTTATTCTTTTTTATTTAGGATTTTATTATTATTATTATTATTTACTATCGTACTACCGATTTATTAAAAAACGATTTAAAAAAATAAAAAAAAAAGAAAAAGAAAAAAAAAATTGTATACTTTGGCATTGATCGATGAAAAATATATTTCTACAGGGAGAAAAAGAGAGGGGGGGAAGAGAGAGAGGAAATAAGTTTTTTTTTAATAATTTCATAATAAATTAAATTTTACCCCCCCCTCTCTCAAAAAAAAAAAGTTATTTTATTATTATTGTTATTTTCCGTCGTTTAAATAACGGTTAATAAACGAACGAACGATGACATAAACGATGATGGTGACGTATTAAAAAAAAAAATTTGTTTGTTTGTTTGTTTAACAGGTGAAAAATTATTAGACGGTTCGAAATATTCATTAACGGAACAACAATTATCGGATTATGGTCTCATGATGAATTTAACAATAAAATCAATTGAAAAAAAAGATCTCGGAGCTTATTTATGTTCATCATCGAATGCATTAGGTACAGCAAACGGAGCCGTTAGATTGCAAGGTATATATAATAATAATAATAATAATACTAAATAAATGTTTTTTTAAAAAAAAAAAAAACCGATATTATTTTTTAAAAAAGAAAAAAATAGCATGATATTCGTTTGGTTCTGTCCCCTGTGATCAAGAATAGCTATCAATTTTCGAATTTCATTGATTTGAAATACTTCATTTTTTTTTTTTTTTTTTTTTTTTAAAATTTATTACTTGCTAAATTGAAAAAGTTTTTTTTTTTTTTTTTTTGTCTCATCCCGATTTACTTTAAAAAAAAAAAAAAAACAAAATCGAAACTTTAACGCGTTCGTATATATATATATCACTTATTATTATTATTTTGTTCTTCGGGGTAAAAAAAAAAATGGCGTGCGTGTATCAATCAAAGATGATGGTAAAAATTTTTTTTTTTAGAAATTTACATGCCACCGAAAACGACGTCATCGCCGAAATTAAATAACAACATATATTATCATCATAAAGCGACACATTCGCCTAAAAAAACTAAAAACAAATCGAGAAAAGATGAACAATCAATGATGACGAGTATGACAACAAGTACAACAACAAACGAACCTAAAATATATCAGACAATAAATCCTAGCATAAGCAGGCCACCTTTTTGGGTGATCGAACAACAACAACATGATGAAGAATCAACAAACGGTGGTTGTTCAATAATAAATAATTATCAAAGTCTTCCATTATTATTATTATATGGTAATGCCGCAGTTTTTTCCCTTCCCTTCTACCTCCTCAACGCGTTACCTCACCGTTTTTCATTTATTATTATTATTATTTATAATGTATTATTAGAGAGAGTTTAATTTTTTTTTAAATAAAAATTTTTTTACGGGTGTGTAATTAAAAAAATTCAATAATAATTGAATTAAATAAATAAATGAAATGTCGACAATTTTTTTTTTTTTCATTTTATTTTAAAAATATATATATTGTAATAATAATAAGAAGCTAAAGGGTTGAAAGTAGAGTGTTTTTTTTTTAAAGGTCGTTTATTGTTAAATTAAATGACAATAAGGATTTAATAAAATTAATTAAATGAATGAATGAATGAATGAAAATTTTTTTTTTTTTTATGTTTTTTTCATTTGGTTTTTTTTTTTGTATTAATATTTATTGTAAAAAATTATTTATAAAAAAAAAAAAGGCTGAAGACATGTAAACAAAAAAAACTTACTCAAATAATTATTACCACGTGTTAATAATAATAATAATTAATTTTTATTGAAAATATTTTAAAAAAAAAAAAAAATTAAACGAAATTTTAATAATAAAAAAAAATTAATAACAATAATAATAATAATAATTAACGTCTTTTTTTATCGATCATTAAAAGAAAAAAAAAGAAAAATTAATTAAAATGTAATTAATAATTACTTTAAATAATAAAATGAAAATTTTATTATTATTATTATAATTATAATTATTATTATTATTATTATTATTATTATTATTATTATTATTATTATTATTATTATTATTGTTTGTTGGGTTTTTTTATTTAAAAAAAAAAAAATTTTATGAAAACGAAACGTAAAAGAAAATTTTTTTTCATGGGTAAATCGAAACGTAAAAATAGAAAATAGAAAATTGAAAAAAATAAAAAAGTGAATTTTATTATTATTATTATTATTATAAGAATTACGTAACGTTATAAATAATAATTTTTTATTTGTCAGTTTAATAAAGTGGTGAATTTTTTTTTTTTTTTTTTAAAGATATTTTATTAAAAATGATGACGGAAATTCCTGTTTTGGGGGACAATTTTCACTTTTTTTTAAAAAGGTTTTAAGATTTAACTTTTTTAGTTTAAATAATATATAAAAAACAAATTTCCTTTTTTACATCCCTAAATTTTTTTTTCTTTACTTTAAAATATAAAAAAAAAAATTTATTTGACATCATCATCATCATTATCGTTTTAATAATAAAAATAAAAGATTTAAAACGTATTTTGAGATATTAAAAATTTACCTATTTATTTATTTATTGTTATTATTATTATTTATTTAAATTATTTTAAATAAAAATAATCGAGTGTAACAAAATTTCGATCTAGTTATTATTTATTTATTTATTACAAAAACTTATTAATTTATTAATTAATTAAATAAATTTTTTTTAAAACAATGTTTACATAAACAGCTCAATTTAAATTAACTTCCCATAATGAAAAAATGCGACGATAACAGTAAAAAATAAAATAAAATTTTTATTTTAAATAAGTAAATAAAATAATTAGTTATAATATATTTATAAAATAATAATAATAATTATATACACGCCTGTAAATATAAAAAAAAGAGGAAATAAATATATATATATATATATGTGATTAAAAAATTTTTATGTAATTGAATTATTATTATTATTATTATAAAAATATATATATATTGTAAATATTTATTTTAAAAAAATAAATTGATTATGTTTAAAAAAATATTATTTAGTGATATCAATAATAAATATTGAACATATTACAACAAAAAAAAATTATTTATTTATTTATTTATTTTGTTTTTTTTCGGTTATGATAACAAGTTATGATAATTTGGAATTGTTTTGTTTTTTTTTATTTTAAACTAAACAAAATGTGTTTAAAGTGTTTCTTTTTTTTTGAATTTATGAATAAAAAAATAATTTAAAAAAATTTAAAACATTGTTGAATATATCACAAATGAATAAATAAATAAATTATTATTTTTTATGAAAACAAATCTTAACATGGAACGTTTTTTTAAAAGTTTTACTTCATATTATTATTTTTTTTTAATTAAAATTATTCCTTTCCTTTTATTAATAAATAAATAATTTTAATAGGTTTATGAAAATAAAAAATTTAAAAATAAATAAAAAAGTTTTTTGTTTTTCATTATGTTATTGTTGATAAGTTATGATAAGGAAGAAATTTTTTTAATTGTGAAAGTTGGGTTTCGATAAATTTATTATTATTTATTTAGTTTAAATTAGGTGATATTGTTTTTTAAGTTTGAAAATGAAATTGAAATTATTCTTTTAATGTTGTTGATATCAAATAGTTTTTAAAATTTTACACATGATTCGAATATTTTGTAATTTTCGAATAAAGCCGACGCCATTGTAAGATTTTAGCGCTTCAAACGGTAAAAAAAAAAACTAACTACACTGTTCAAATGTTTGATTCGATAATTAAGCAAAAATAAAATTGAATTTCTTAAAATTGAATGCATTCAATTAAATAAAGTTTAATAAAAATATAATAAAAGTTTATTTTCGTAAAATACGTTTAAATAAATATATAATAATTAAAATTTATATTGATTTTTTATAGTTAAAGGTTGTTACACAAAAACGACGTATTTCGTTCACGTGTGACGTATTTCCGTTTTTAAAACTGCAATCGATTTGTAGTGTGATAAAATTTTTTTGAATTTCCTTCGATGTATATTAATTAAGTGTAAAATGTTTAGAAAACTAGCATTTTTAAATAAGATTGATAATTATTTATTTAGCCAACATGACTCTTATTTACAATTCGCTAAAAAGGCATATACGATATCAGACAGAAATTTTCTGCCGCATTGGGACCAAAAACAATTCTTCCACGTTAATTTGCCACGCAATAAAGATGTTAGAAGTATAGAAAAAAGAAGAGATGCGCAAAAAAGTGCAAAAAATAATTACAGGGTGGAGGAAAGCATTAACATTGATCAAAGTCGGAGGTTAGTTAAATTTTAAACTGCCTCATTAATTTGGATGAAGTAAAAGTAAGTTTGGGTGTGACCTGGTGCTTTTTCCCTGCATATATACATTTATTCCACATCCTATAACGTTAACTTTGAAAAATAATGAGTTATTTTAATTATTTTAAATGTATTTTTAATATTTGTTTGTTTTTTTTATTTTAGTGATTTGTATCCTTCCGTAGACTTACCTAACTCTTTATTCGATGGGATTCCTTATCGAGATTTACCTGTTATAAGTGTGAGAGCTACTCGTAACAATACCATTATGAATGTCAGTGTTAAAGGTAAAGTTGATGTTCAATATTATTTTATTATCATAAATAAATCTTCATGAAGTTAATTTTTTTTTATTTTGTTATATTTCATTATAGATATGAATAAGTTTTTTAGGTCATGTGGAATGGAAGGATATAAGAATACCAGAAAAGGTACAAATGTAGCAGCTCAAGCGACAGGATACTCGGTTGCAATGAGAGCAGCAAAATTAGGAATTAAAATAGCTAGGGTTACAATATCTGGTATTGGCCCTGGTAGATCAGTAAGTTTTTTTATTCATTTTTTTCTAAGAACTTTATTAATTATCAATTATTGTTCATAGTTTACACAAATCATTTAAAATTTTTTACATATTTGTACTGTAAATGTAAGTATTTATAAAAATAATGCCATCAATATTTTTTCGTCAGTCATATATATATTTTCTATGAAACATAAAATGTTTTTACTTGTTTTTTTAACAGTATTTAAAGTTAGATAAGAAAAATTATTAATTTTTGAATCATTCAACTTGATATAACATTGTTTTTTTTTTTTTTTTTTTTTTACAACTGAGTAAATATTAATTTAAAATTTTCAGAGCGCTCTTAAAGGTCTTCAATTGGGTGGTATGAAAATTGTATCGATTACAGATCAAACTAAAGATACAACTGCGGGTAGACCAAAAAAGCAAAGAAGAATATAAATTTTTATTTTTGTATTGGTGAGTTAATTAAATTACATTTTAATTTTTTTAAAATAAACATTGAGTTTAATCTCAATAAACATACCTTGTAAAAATTTTATCATTATTATACTGATACTACTAAAAAAAATATAAGTATTTATTATTAAAAAAAAAAATTTACTACTCGGTTTTTTTATTTAAAAAAAAAAAAAGTATTTAATGTAATAATGATAAAAGGCAGGATTTTGCATTTTAAGTTAATAAATTCTTAAATGAAATTTAAAAAAACTTAAAGAAAACTTGTTAAACTTTTGAAATTCTATAATTTAAAAATAGTTTTAATTTGTTTATTTAAGTAAGTACAGAAAGTGAAATGAATGGTTAACAATGTTTATTTTTAAAAATGTTGAAAATATTTTTAAACTGTATTTTTGTCACTTTTATTGTTTTAAAAAAAAAATGTATATTAACTTGTAAATTTTAATTTTTTTATGTTGGTATTATAATAAGGCAAAATTTATTCTAATAATTATAATTGATACTCGACAAATGAAATATTTTTGAATCATTTTTCGAAACTATGTTACAAAGATTTATAGACGAGAATTTTTTTATATGAAATATTGTTGAAGCGATTAAAAACATTTGACATTACTTATACTTCTATTTGTAATTTGCTTTGATAACTTATAAAATTAAATGCATATTAAAAGAAATGAAAATTGAAAACACAAAAGCTTTCAATTTAATAATTAAATTTATTAAAATAAATTTTAAAAATTTCAAAGATTTAAATTTATCGATTTCAAAATTTTCAATAATTTCACTTTTCAAAAATCATTAATTTTATAAGTTATAATATGACATAAAAAGTTTTATATTATTTATATAAATATCATTTGTGAGTGACTAAGTGCAACAATAAATTTACTTTAATAGATTTTGGTTTGCTATTAGTTAATCAAAAAAAAAAAAAAAATGAAAGATGAAAGATGAAGATTCAAATATGGCAAAAAAAAGTTTTAATTGATTTAAATTTAAAAAATTTCACTTTAACTTTTAATTTAAAACTCAAAAGAATTAATTTTAAGAATTTTATTTTTATTTTATTGTTGCATTTACATCACCAAAAAACATTTTGTTGTCAAATGTTTTTGTTTTTTTTTTTTTTTTTTTAAATTATGAAGAAAAATTATGGATTCATCAAGAGGACAAAGAAAATATTTTGAAATCAAAGGATTAGAGAAAACTTTTGAAGATAAATGGAAAATTCAATCGACTGGAAATAATGGAAAAGTGTCATCATGATGAAAACTTTTATAATGTGAATTTAGTGATATATATAATTAATTAATCAAACGTAAAAAAGTGAGAAACCGGTTACTCGGTAACAAATCCCACGATTCCTTTGTTTTGCTGTTTCCTCTTCACCTACTTAACTTTCATTCGAACAATTTTCCCGTGGTAAACAATCAAGATTTTTCCACGCCCAAAGACCCTCATTGAATTAAACATAAAAAAAAAAAAAAAAAAATTATTTTACGACGTTCTTATTGAAACTTTGCGAAATTTTCATAGAAAAAAAAAAAAAAAAAAACTCGCGAAACAAATAATTCTCAAGTTTGGTAAATAAAAAAAAAAATGTCTTAAAACAAATTCTTGAATAAAAGAATATTTAACGTTCGAAAAAGTTCATCAAATTAAAAAAAAAAAAAAAAAAAAAAAAAAAAAGAGGAAAAAAAAAAAAAAAATGAAGGGAAAAAAAAAAAAAAAAAAAAAAATTATTGAGCGGACAATTAAAGGAGAACGATATTGAGGGTACAATTTATCCGGAATTAAATAAATCATTTCAAATTGCATTTTACACGTAACCGCGCAATGAATTCTGGGAATAAGTGTAGAAAACAAGATGGCGTAACTCCTTGCGCTGCATTAAAACCGCATCAATTTGAATTTACAGTTTTTTTGTCGTTCCGAGTATTTTCGTTAAAGTAATATTAATTTAAAATAAGTTTTTCCGGAGTTGAAACCACTTTTTAAAAGTAATTTAAAACGGAAGTGCGGAATATATATTTGAAAAATAACGATACTTTCACAAAAAGAGTCCACGCGTAAATTCATTTCATCAAAATGGCAGACAAATCGCCATTTAGATGAAAATCGATAAGAATAAAATAGCATTTTTACTTTTTAAATAATTTAGTCGGAAACTATTATTTTCGGTTTTAAATGAGTGATTTAGTCGTGATTAATGGTTTTAAAACATTTTTTATCAGTATTTTTAGTAAAATCGAATTATTTCAACGCATGACCTTTATAAGATGCCTCAGGTGAGAATTTGATTTTTTTTTTTTTTTTTTGTTTTATATTTTTCCGGACTTTTTTCAATTCGGTAATTTGATTTATGACAATTTTCCGAACGTTATCGTTGTAAAAAATAAGTTTGGCTAAGGTGACCACGCCCGATTTCCCTTATGTTTCAACAGCACATTGAATGACTTGGATTTGATATGATTATTATTCTTATGAAACGTTTAAAAACCTTTTTTTCAAACCTTAAATTGAAGCATAAACTCTCACAACCTGGATAATTATCTCACCTAATCCTACATGTTGCTAATTGAGTGATCTGACTTTAAAATGTTGAGTTTTACATTGAAAAATGATGTTTTTAATAAAGTTTTGCTGTTTGTTTACCTTTTTGAAAAAAATTGATTTTATACATTTATACTGAATGTTCCAAAAATTTTTTGTAATAATATTGTTAAATATGTTGTAACAAATGTTTGGGAAAAATTTTTTCAAAATTGAACTCATACCCATTTTTGATATTTATGATTGAAAATTGTGTCTGTGTCATTCCTTTGGGTGTTATTGGTTATATTCTGATTGTTTTTAACAATCTTTTGCTTCTTTTTATCTTAAAATGTGTGTACATCAACTTTTAATAAATTTTCAATTATTTATTATTAACCCTGGAATTAGGTTAAAAATTGTTGTTATTTTTATTGGATTTTTTTTTCTTTTTTGTTTACTTTTACTAGAAAACATAATTTTTTTTTATAAATCTCGTTATTGTGATGCTTGTTTTTAAAATTTTTCTTTTTATATTTATTATTATTATTTAAGTTAATATTAATCGAGCTTTTAAAAATTGTTTTAATTTAAAAAGAAATTTTTGTGATTTTAATGAATCCTTAAAAAAAGAAAAAAAAAAACTTTAAAAAATATTGTTTTGCCTTTTTATTTTTTGTGGAGAAGCTTTTCGATATTTTTATAAATATTAATTCATTGTTGATATTTATAATGATGATTATGAATTTTTAAATTTTTTTTGTTTAATTAAGTGCAAAATTCTGCCTTTTGTATGATTGTTTCATTTCCTTCCTTTTCTTCCATTTTATTTACAACACCACAAATTTACAATAATAATATATATTTATAAATTAAAGAAACATTATTGTTTGTTTATTATTTATAAAATATATAAAATTTTATTTTTATTTTTTTAAAAAAAAATTTATTTATTTATTTTCTTTCTGTTTTATATAAAAAAAAATATGGTTGTCAAAATAATTTGTTGTCCACAATTTTCCTGAAACTTACTTAAATTTATTTAGAAAAAAAAAAGGAATTGATGTCGATTAAATTCTTTTTTTTTTTGTACTTATTTTATTTTGTGTATAATTTATAAATGATAATTGAGTACTTTGCTGTATCATAAATGTTCTAGAAAAACATATTTGGAAATTTTACATGAAATGCTGCCTATTTTTTCTAGTTTCACAAAAATTTTTAACCAAATTCATTATTTGTTTTTTTTTTTAAATGGAGTTTTAAGAAGAGATTTGATTATATTTGAAATTTGTTTTTTTTTGCAATTTAAATAAATAAATAAGTAACTTTTTGACATCAAGTATAATAATACACGATTGATGATGACATTAAAATAAAATTAATTTTCTTTTGTGATAAATAAATACATTTTAATATTATCAGAAAGGACGAAGCCTTTTGAAAAAGAAAAAAAACATAGTTTAAGGGAATTTCTTAGCCTTAAATTTAAAACGTATATATAAGAAAATATAAAAAATTTTAAAATGGTTGATATATATATATATATATGTGTTGTCCCTTGTAGTGCGGTTCGGATGATTCTGGATCGGAATCTGACAATAAAAAGTCATCCGGCTCGGACAATGAATCAAGTAGCGGTAGCTCAAAATCAAAATCAGATTCAGATAGCGATTCATCAGGTTCATCTATAACTTCAAACAAGTCAAATTCCGGTTCTGGAACAAGGAGCGGATCCGAATCCGATACAAAATCAGAAAAATCTCCATTTAAAACCAACGTGCATTTAAGCGCGGAAAAAAATGGAAAGAAAGAAGACCTGAAACAGGTAGGGTTGCTTTTGTTGTTTTTTCTTTCCTTTCTTTTTTTTTCCCTTCTTTTTCCATTCGACATCTGCGATTCTTTCGTATCGAAAATGAAAAAAATACCAAGAGTGTAATACAAAAAAAAAAAAAATTTTTTTTGGATATTTATTTAATTCAGAAAAAGAAGAATAATAATAAATTAATTATAACTTATTATTATTATTATTATTATTATTATTATTTTTCTTCTCTCAATTGATTTTCATGATTATTCAATTGATCAACTCCCTCCCTTCTTTATTTAAAAGTTTGTTTTAAATTCTATACATTAGAGAATTAATTTGAGCGTTAATTTCCAATGATAAATAATTTTTGGTCATCCTTTTGTAAAATTTGTATTTATTGATTTTTATTTTGAAAAAAAATTGTATATGTCGATCGGAACGCAATACAGAGAGTAAAAGAAAAGAAAATAAAAACAAATCGAATTTAAAAATAATTTTTTTTTTTTTTTTTTTTTCAATAGAAAGTATACCGTTATCGTACTTTTGAAATATTATTATTATTGTTATTTTATTTTTTTACCAAATAAAAATTAATTTCAAATTTTTTTTTTTTTATAAATTGATGAGGGGATCATGCTCGGGAAAAATTGCATTTTTTTTTTTTTTTTTTTTTAATTAATTAAAAAGTAAGTCTTGTCAAAAAAAAAGAAAAACATTTTTCACGTCTGTATTAAACTTCACGTTTAACTTTTTTTTTTTTTTTTTTTGACATCGTGATGTATAGAAAATCATTCGATTTATTTATTAATTATTTCTTCACAACGCAGTGATTTCCCCTTCCTTCCTCCCCCCGATATAAATACCCGAGAGGAAAAGTTATAATTTTTTTTTTTTTTTTTTCGAAATAGTGCTGGGAAGAAAATCCGGATGTTTATGGAATTCGTAGATCGGGAAGATCCAAAAAAGAACCGGAGAGGTTGGAAGTCAGAAGTGGATCTTCTGAAAAGGGTAGAAAAAATTCTAGACGAAATTCTAAAAGGTATTTTTGATATTATTATTATTACGACAAAGGTGGGAGACAATTTTCTTTTACGTACTGTTACTTATTGGTAATTTCGTGTAATTAAAATTTTAGTTCGAATACGTGGAATTCGTCCGTGTCAGATTCTGACACCGATAAAGATATTAAACCCCGTCCTCCGAGAAGTCGGCCACCCGGAAGAAAACCCGCCAAACCTATATCGAGGGGAAGAGCAAAAACTCAAGAAAAATCACGGAAAAGAAGGTATAGTGATTCTTCAGATGATTCATCCGACAGTGATGCTGCCATCAGGCGGTAAGTGCCATAATTTTTACTTTTTTTTTGTTGTTAAGTGACCATTCGTACGATTGACACATTAATAAATTTTTTATTCAGGACACACACTCGGAGAGCAGGGACCGGTATTAGTTACAAGGAAGAAAGTGAAGATGAAGAAACGGGTTCGGATGAAGTTACGGAAGTAAATTGGGATGAATCTGCTCAAACTCAAACGGCAGGAGAAACGGATACGGCTGACACAATTGAAAAAGTTTTAGCACAAAGGAGGGGTAAAAAAGGAGGTAAAATTAAAAAAATTGTTTAAAAAAATTATAAATTTTTTCGAATCATTAAAAAATAATTTATTTAAATCGAAATAATTTGCGTTAAGCTGTCGGCGGACCGACGACATTTTACGCCGTCGATGAAAACGGAGATCCCAACGAAGGATGTGATCCAAATGATAGAGAAGGTACAGAAATTCAATATTACATTAAATGGAAAGGTTGGTCTCACATTCACAATACCTGGGAATCGGAGCAATCGCTTAAAGATAACAAGGTAATTTAAAAGTATGAATAAAGTGATATTATTCGAAAATGACGAATAAAAATGTAATTTTGATTACCACTCTTAAATTTTAGGTAAAAGGATTAAAAAAATTAGAAAATTATATGAATCGAGAAGATGATTTGGCCGCTTGGAGAAAACACGCTAGTCCAGAAGATATTGAATATTACGAATATCAATTGGAACTTCAAAGTGATTTACTGAAAAGTTATACAAACGTTGAAAGGGTTATAGGTAAAGTATTATTATTACTTTAATTGATATTAAATTCAAGTAGAATTCGAGTAATAACGCAAAGTTTTATTACATGTGCAGCACAAGTTGAAAACCCGATGGGGGTACGGATTATTTTATAAAATGGGAAAGCCTTCCTTACTCAGAAGCGTCAGTCGAAGATGGTAATATAATTAACAAAAAATGGCCGAAAAAAGTTCAGGAGTACAAGGAAAGAGAAGAATCTAAAAGAACGCCAAATAAATCGTGTCGAGCTTTAAAAGTTCGACCGAAATTTTTTCAAATAAAAAATCAACCATCGTTCGTGGGAGGCGATAGCGTAAGCCCAGAATTTTTTTTTTTTTCCCCCCCTATTGTATTATTATAGTCCTGATTCAAATGTAAAAAAATTTTCCAGGCGTTACAACTTCGAGATTATCAATTGGATGGATTAAATTGGCTCGTTCATTCGTGGTGTAAAGAAAATTCTGCCATTCTAGCCGATGAAATGGGTTTGGGAAAAACAATACAGACAATTTGTTTTCTGTATTATCTCTTTCGGACGCATCAAGTTTACGGACCATTTTTACTCGTCGTACCCCTTTCGACGATGACTTCGTGGCAAAGAGAATTTTCTTTGTGGGCTCCCGAAATGAATTTTGTTATATATTTAGGGGATGTTAATTCTAGGAATATTGTATGTTTTAATTTTTACGTTTAAGTTGAAATTTTTTTTCGCAGTATTGATTTTCGTTTAAGAATAATTGCATAAAAATTTTTTTTGCAGATTAGGGATTACGAATGGTGGCACACGGGAACAAAAAGACTAAAAATTAACGCAGTTTTAACTACGTACGAAATTGTTTTAAAAGATAAAGCGTTTTTAGGATGTATTAGTTGGGCTGCTCTGCTGGTGGACGAAGCCCATCGTTTAAAAAATGACGATTCCTTATTGTATAAAGCATTAACCGAGTTTGACACTAATCATAGGTTATTAATCACAGGAACGCCTTTACAAAATAGTTTAAAAGAACTTTGGGCATTATTGCATTTTATTATGCCAGATAAGTTAGTATTTACCGCGAACGACGCGGTGTCTTTGTTCAAATGTGACTCTATTGCATTTTTATAATTCTTTATATTAAATTTATATTTATAACAGGTTTGCAAAATGGGAAGATTTCGAAAGAGAACACGATCACACGGCTCAAAAGGGTTATGCAAAGCTTCACGCTCAATTAGAACCCTTCATTCTTAGACGGGTCAAAAAAGACGTTGAAAAATCACTTCCGTCAAAAGTCGAACAAATATTACGCGTAGAAATGTCTTCTCTTCAAAAACAATATTATAAGTGGATATTGACTAAAAATTACAGTGCTTTACGAAAGGGTGTGAAAGGGTCTACTACTACTTTTAATAATATAGTTATAGAACTAAAAAAATGTTGTAATCACGCGTTTTTGACAAAACCTTCGGAAACGGAAAATAAAAGTAACGAAGCCGATTCGCTTCAGGTAATTATTAACACAAAAAAAAATCTATTGATGGAATTTTAATCGTCGCAGCATCGATCGACCTTTCGGTACGAAATAATAATAATAATAATAATTTGAAATTTTAGATGTTACTTAGAGGTTCGGGAAAATTGGTCTTATTAGATAAGCTTCTAGTCCGTTTAAAAGAAACAAATCATAGGGTTTTGATATTCTCTCAAATGGTCAGAATGTTGGACATTTTGGCCGAATATTTACAATTGAGAAGATTTCAGTTTCAAAGGTTAGATGGAAGCATAAAAGGAGAAATTAGAAAACAAGCTTTGGATCATTTTAATGCGGAAAATTCTATGGTAAAAATTATTTATTTCAAATATTCATTCGCGTAAAAGTTTTCAGGAGAGGTTCGTGACTGATTTTTTTTATTATTTTTTTTTTAAATTTCAGGATTTTTGTTTTCTTTTATCTACTAGAGCCGGAGGTCTGGGCATAAATTTAGCAACAGCAGATACAGTAATAATTTTCGATTCGGATTGGAATCCGCAAAACGATTTACAAGCTCAGGCTCGAGCACATAGGATAGGACAAAAAAATCAAGTAATTTTTTATTTTAATAAGAAATTTATTTTAATCGATGAGTTTTATCTTACGCGAAGGGTAATTAAATTAAAACGGAAATGAATTTTTTTCAGGTAAATATTTATAGATTAGTAACGAAAAATTCCGTCGAAGAAGAAATTATTGAAAGGGCGAAGAAAAAAATGGTTTTGGATCATTTAGTCATACAAAGAATGGATACCACAGGGAGAACGGTTCTCGATAAAAAAGGCTCTTCGGTTACGCCTTTTAACAAAGGAGATTTGACAGCAATTTTAAAATTTGGCGCCGAAGAATTATTTAAAGATGAAGAGGATGGGGATGAAGAACCAGCGGTAATAATTTATTATTTTATACTTTTTGTATTTTTTTTGTATTGTTTTTTATAATTGATTATTTAATTATTGCTAGTGTGACATTGATGAAATCTTAAAAAGAGCAGAAACCGCTGAAGAAGCTCCTGCAACCGTTGGAGATGAATTGTTATCTGCATTTAAAGTTGCCAGTTTTGCCGCTTTCGACGAGGAAAAGGACTTGCCTGCCGAAGAGCCAGAACCTGAAGAAGAAACCAAAGATTGGGTATACATATATATATTATTGCAAATAAAGTTTTTGAAGAAAAAAAAATTATTATTTTGAACGTGTTGTTATTTTCTCCTCAGGATGACATCATTCCAGAAAATTATCGTAAAAAAGTTGAAGAAGAAGAAAAGGCCAAGGAAATGGAAGACCTTTATTTGCCTCCTAGAAGTCGTAAAACATTGCAACAAATCAATCAATCCGATAGTGATAATGCCGAAGATAAAAAAGCAAAAAAAAAGAAGACTGAGGAATCTGAAGGTGAAGGAAGTGACGAAGAGAGCGACGAGGAAAGGCCCAAAAGAAGAGGGCGACCAAAGAAATGTCCGTTTGAATGCGAAAAACCATTTTCCGATGCGGAGGTTAGTTAGTTAGTTAGGATTTTGATGCTCAATATGAGGTGTTAAAAATATTTATTGTTTTTTTTTTTTTTTTTTTTTTAAGGTACGAAGATTTATCAAAAGTTATAAAAAGTTTTCAACGCCTTTAAAACGTTTAGAAGCCGTTGCGTGCGATGCGGAATTACAAGAAAAACCGTTATCGGATTTGCGAAAACTAGGGGAATACATAGAAAGGAAATGTAACGAATTGATGATAGAAACACAAAATTTTCAAAAGGAAAATTCTGAAATTAACCAAAATAACGAAGACAGTAATCTTTCAGGTACGATCGAATCACACAATTAAAAGTCAGAAGTACCTGGAAAAAAAATTTTTCCCGTTAACGGATGATTTAATTTTTTTTTATTTTTTAGTGCCCACCAAAAAACATAGACTTAGAGGTCCTTCATTTAAAATTGGACGGGTCTCATTAAACGCCAAAACTCTTTTAGCAACTTTAAAAGAATTAGAACCTCTTGATGAAGCTTTACCAAGCGACGTTGAAGAAAGGAAAAGATGGATATTAGATTTTAGGTACATTAATTGACACCCCTCAAGAAAATGATGAGAAATTTTTCTTATTGGCGAATTTAAATGGTGACTTTGTTTTTTTTTTTTTTGGCAGAGTTAAATCGGCAAATTTCGACTGTGATTGGGACATCAAAGAAGATTCTTGTTTACTCAAAGGCATTTATCAATACGGTTTAGGTTCATGGGAAGCAATCAAAATGGATCCCTCGTTAGGAATAAGCGATAAAATCCTTTTACCGGATGAAAAAAAACCCCAAGCGAAACATTTACTCTCAAGATCCGAGTATTTACTTAAAGTTTTAAAAAAATGTTTAGATCAAAAAAAAGGAGTGGTTAGTACAATTTCTTTTATTTATACATCAACATTAATTGTGAGTTTTTTTTCTTTTCTTTTTTGTAATTTTTTATATTTAAATTTAAGGCAAAACCTAAAAGGCAAAAAAAGAAATTAAAGGAAACATCAAAAGAGATAATCGATAATCACGACGTTTCATCAGCCGAAGAAAATACGATTCCCTCAACGTTGGGAACCGTGAAAAAAATCGTTAAAACAAAATCGGAAGGAGAAGAAGAAAAAGAAGATAAAAAAAAAGAGAAAAAAGTTAAAAAGGAGAAAAAAGACAGTAGCGAGTCGAAAGAGAGAAAAGAAAAAGAGGGAAAAGCGAAAAGGAAAAAAGTTCAGGGTCCCATGCATTTCACGGCCAATAACAAACCGAGAGCCGTTGAAGTTTTGGGAGATTTGGATCCCGCCGTATTCGACGAGGTTTTTCTTTTTTTTTTTTTTATTCGCGCCATTTTTTTTTTTTTTTTTCAAACAAATATTTCGAATCGATGAAATTGTTTACAGTGTAAAGAAAAAATGAGACCCGTAAAAAAGGCGTTAAAATCATTGGATAATCAAGATCAATCCTTGGGTCAACAAGAACAGGTTCAACATACGAGAATGTGTCTTTTGCAAATCGGAGATCAAATAAATAAATGTTTATCAGAGTATAAAGATCCCGATAAAGTGAAAGAATGGAGAAGGTAAAAATTTAAATTTTTCTGGTTTTGGGATCCCTGTAATCCTGAATTTATTATTATCATTATTGTTTTTTCTATCTAGTAACCTTTGGTATTTTGTATCGAAATTCACGGAATACGATGCGAAAAAATTGTACAAATTATACAAGCACGAAGTGAAAAAAGAATTGGAAAAAAAATTAGGAGTTAAAGAAGGGGAAAAGGATAAGGAGAAAATCAAAGAAAAGAAAAAGGAGAAATTGGGGAAAATGTTGGACGTCGAGGGAAGAGGGGAAAAGGATAGGATAAGTAATAAAAGGAGAATCGACGATGATAGGGAAAGTTCTTTATCCCCCGCTAAAAAGCCTTATCACGAAGGGTAAATCTATTAATATAAAAATAAATAAATTGGAAAAAATTGAAAAAATTAAACATGAAAAAAAATTCGCAGGAAAAGCAGAGGTAGAGAAGACTGGATGGAAAGAGACAGAAGCAGATCTCGGGATTTGGATTATAAAATTAAAGACGATAGAAGATCTCATAAGGAAAGTCACCACGGGGCGCCACTCACTCCGCAAAGGCCGGGAGGATCGCAAAATTCATCCAGGCACGATTACAGCCCCGGAGATTCTAGGACGACGTTGAGTCCTCACGGGAGAAACCATAGGGAAAGAGATCGAGATAGAGATAGGGATAGGGATAGAGATAGAGATAGGGAAAGAGACAGGGATAGAGATAGAGATAGAGACAGGGATAGGGATAGAGATAGAGATAGGGATAGGGAAAGAGATAGAGATAGAGATCGAGACCGGGATAAAGATAGAGAAAGAGATAGAGACAGGTTGGTTTGACTTTTTTTTCCAAGTGCGCATTTCAAAATGAAAAGGAAACATTTGTCGAAATTGAATTTTATTTATTTCAACAGGTATAACGATCATAAACGTGATAGATACGATGGTTATTCTAGAATTCCGAATTCTTTGTACAGAGACAGTAGAGACTCGAGAGAAAGAATAAATCATCGGAGACCGTAAGTTATTATTGATAATAATAATAATAATAATAAGTATAAAAATTTGAATGATTCAGCCGTCGGTAATTTGAAAAAATTATTTAATTAGATATCATCAAGGCCCTCCTCCGGCTTACCCGAATCATTACGGAGTACCTCCCGTACCCTACGGAATGTCTCCCGTCGGATTGTATCCCCCGGGAGAAGTGCCTCCTCCGGGAATATTTTCTCCGGCTCGATACGCCGCTCCAGTCGGTCCAAGTTACGGAGAATGGAGAGGAAAAGAATACAGAAGAGGAGAATACGACGGAAGGCGGCCACCTTCGAATTCCTAGTACCGCAAAAACTAACTCAGTGAAAAAAAAAAAAAAAAACAAAAAAAAACAGAAAAATTTTATTTTTTTAAATGGAACAAACAGAAAACAAACAAAACAAACAAACAATCAAACAAACAAAAACTATAAATTGTTTTATTTAGTGATGTGACAGTGTTTTTTTTTTTTTTTTTTTTTGATGGATTTTAAATAAGCGAAAAACAAAAAAAACAAAATACAAAAAAAAAAAAAAGAAAAAAAGAAATTTTCGTCAAGTGTGTCGTTTCACAAAAAGACTGCATTTCTTTCTCAATCTCTCTTTCTATCTCTCTCTATCTCTATCTCTCTCTGTCTCTCTTTCTTTCTCTCACACATTACAAAACATTTTATGTTTTTATGTCGATTTATTTTGGTTTTTTTTTATTTTATTTAAAATAATTGAATCAATTTTCTTCATGAAAAACCTTTTTTTTTTTTTTTTTTTGTAAAGGTTTGTCAACTATATTCGTTATATATATAAAAAATAATAATAATAATAATTTTTACTGATTTACTTCGTATAAAAATGGAAAGAAAAGAAGAAGAGAAATGAACTCATTGAAATATTTAGCGCACATGTACAAAAAAAAAATAAATAAATAAAAATAAAAATAAAAATAGGCTCAATAAAAACGATTACAAAAAAATTTTTTTTTCTTTTATTGTTTTTATTAATCGTTTCGATATCCAGTTTACAAAAACATAAATAAAGAGGTTGTAGTGATAATGATAATAATAATTAATAATAATAATAATAATAATAATAATAATAATAATTTGGCGACGGGAAACAAAAAATTGGTTAAATCCCACCCATCGTTTTGTTTAGTTAAAATTTTTTTTTTTTTTAAAATCCCTTTTTGGATAATCCTTTCGTTAATCCCGATTAAAATATATTAAATTGAATTTAATTAAATAAATAAATGATGATAATGATGATGATAATAATTGTTTAGTTTTCAATAAAAAATGGATAAAAAATTTTATGAATTTTCACATAATAATAATTATATTAAATATAATAAAGCGAAATTTGTTTAAAAAAAAAGGAGAGAGGAAAAATTAATTAATTTTTGTTCGTTGTGCGCTTTTTCATTTTTATTTTTCTCGGGGGAATGGGAGGGAAAAGAGGAGGGAAGGGGGAAGAGGATGGGAGGATAGGGGGGAGGAGACCATCTACGATTGATTGATTAAAAGAAACGAATTTAAAAATAAATTTTTTTTTTTTTTTATTATTATTGTTAATTTTTTTTTAACAAAATAATATCTGTAAATAAATCAATGGAACAACCAACACAACAACAATAATGAAATTTGTTTATAAATAATGATAATAATAATAATAAACAAAGAAATTATTATTATTATTAATATTTATTTATTTTTTAATAACGTAAATTATTTTTAATTAATTAATTAATTTTTTTACATTGACGAATTTCCTTAATTAAATTTACATTTGAAAAAAAAAAATCAATGAGGATGTTGATGATGATGATGATAATGACGATTACGGTTATTATTATTATTATTATTATTATTATTATTTTAATGTAAAAAATTGTGACAAAAAGCGCTAAAGTCTAATTACTATCATTGTAATAATTTGTATTTTTTTTTTTTTTGTAAATATTAATAATAATAATAATGATTTATAATTTTTTTTCTTTTTTTTGCGATAATAATAATAATAATAATAATAATAATGAAAAGACAAACAAAATAACGATGTGTACGCGTTAAAATTCTTTTTTTTTTTATTTTAAAATTTATTTATTGATTGATTGATTGATTGATTGATTGAATTTTTTCTTTTATTTATTTTTTTTTTCATATCGAAATTTTATTTTAATTTATGTTTAAGAAAAAAAATATATTTTTATTAATAAAAAAAAAATAAAATATTTAAAATTTTCCAAAAAAAAATTCGATTTTTTCCTTTTTGGGGAGGGCGGTGGGAGGCGGGTTTGTTATTTATAACGAATTCGTTGAGTTTTTTTTTTTATTTATTGTAGGGGTAATTTTAATTATAATTATTAATTAACGACGATAAATTTACAAAAATTTAAATTAAATCGTTCGTTTTAAATTTTTTTTTAATAAAGAGATTTTTTTTTCTGTAAATATTATCAAAAATGGCGGACATTACTTTTATATTGTTATGTGAAAATGTCAAATTTTAACGGGTTCCTAAATTATTATTATTATTATGCAAAAATATATTTTAAATTCGTTTTATTATCATTATCAAATAGTATATTATGTTTTAAATAATTTTTTATTTATTTAATTCATTTTTCTACGGATTTTATGGTAAAAAAAAAAAAAAAAAAAAATTTGAAAACAAAGGTAAAAATAAAATGGAATGAAAATATTTAAAAGAATTTATTTATTTTTTTTTTTATTAAACTTTTATCCAGTTGAAACTTTGAATTATTTAAGGTAAATAATTTTTTTTATTATTTAAAACTTTCAAAAGCTTTTAATTACTAACCTGATTTGGTCATTACTTATAGTTTTTAATAATGAAAAGAAAAGTTGGAAAGGATAATAATGTTAAAAATGATGAAGATGATTGTGATTTTGAGCCTAAATTGACAAGGTCAAAGGCTAAAAAATTATTACAAGATCAATCAAAAGTTGTTTGGCCGATAAAACCAAAGAGAAATGTTGTAGAAAGTGACCTTAATATATTTAATGAAGAATTACCAGAAGAATCTGATGATGAAGAATATAAGCCTAGTATTGATGATCTGCAAGAGCAAAGCGAAGAAGAATCAGGTTGGAATTTAATTAAATGATTTGTTATCGAAATGATTGTAAAGTTTATTATTTTTATATATAATGCATTTTTTTTTGTTACAGGAAGACATTCGATTGTCAGCACTGCTTCTCACACCTCCCTTCTTGATCTATCAGTCAGTCAATATTTAGAAAATTTTGATGCTAATTTATTAGATAGCGAAACAATGAAATGCTCTCCTGATTCCGTTTTTAAAATCCCATCAGAAAATATTGGGCAAAGAACAAGATCTAAACTCTGCCTTAGTGACACTCCTTTAGAAGCGATTGAAAAAGCTTTTGTGCCTCCAGACATTACAACAGACATGTATGATTTTCAATGTGATAACGAAGACTGGGAAAACTTTTTAAAAGAATTCATGCAACCATTATCGAATGATTTAGAGGATGACGATGAAGCTGATCCAGAGTATAATGCTCTGGCAGATGAAGAAGAAATGTATAAAGAAGAGCTAAGAAGAGATAGAGCTGTTAAAATATCAAGAAAAGAATTAAGAAAATTAATGGCTGAACTTTTCGAATGTCCAGATGAATTTTCAAGTGATGAAGAAGAGGAAAAGAGAGTCAAGACTGAAATAGTAAATAAGGTTTTCAATTTCGCTTAAATTCAACTTTGTTTCATTTTATTTTGTAAATTTTATATAATTACTATTAATAATTTTAAAAATGATACTCAGGTAAATGCTGATTTAAATGAAAAAGCAGAAAAGACTGATGAAGAGGTTAAAGAAAATGAAACTTTCATGACGAAAACTCAAATCCTTCTTCTTCAACAGCAACTGAGACAACATGTACAATTAACTACTCAACATTTTTTACAAACATGTTGTCATCCACTTTATGGAAATTATGCTAAAGATTTTAAAATTATATTGGTAAAATATTTTTTTAAAACTTAACAAATATATATATATATTTAAAATAATTACTGGTAATTAAACAATAATAACAAAATTTAATTGTCCACTTTTTGTTGACTTTTTAAAATTAGACAATGATGCATATTTAATTTTTCACAGGCAACTTTAGTCGAATTAAGCAATATAAATAAAGTATCAGCATTTAACATATATAATTTGGAACCAGCATTTTCTCTAATTGAAAAATGGGAAAAATATTTAATGAGTGAAAATGGAACAGAAGTTATTGAGTAATATAATTATTTTTGCATTTTGTGTTTTCAAATTGAAAAAATGGAAAAGTGCATGATTTTTTTATTTTTTACTTTCAATTTCAGGCACATGAAAAACGAAGTGAAAAAAGCTAAAAAAGCAAAACAAAAAAGTAATTATCATCGTGTAATTTTTCATCCGAGTTTGTTGAAACTTATTTCAGAAAGTAATGTATTTATGTATTCGTTACTTTTACCTCCTACAGGATTTCGTTGTGATGGACCATTAAAAATGGAATTTGTAGATCACGAGGATGCGTATGTTACGTTTTTATCATTATTATTTTTAAAATAGCATTCTTTTAATTGATTCTTCATACTGATTGATTACTTTCTTTGCATTATAGCCTCATAGCTATTGGTTTAGATGAATTTATGCCATATTTAAAAAAGTATCCGAGATGGTTTGATAAAAATAAACTGACAGAAAAGGGTGCTTGCGAATTAATAAGTGAATATTTAATGCCTGCTAAAACTCCTTTACAAATTGTTTCCCGAATCAAGCATGTTAAATCAGTTAATAGCAATCCAATCAATGTAAGTAAATAAAATGATTTTAACCTTTTTCGCAAAATCAATGAGTAACTTATTTATATTGTTTTTCAGTATTATCGAACTCACAGGAGAGCTCCACAAACAATTCATTTTGTCATACCTTTTAATGATCAATTAAAACAACCTCCGTGCAAACGAGAAAAATTTCTCTTACCTCTTATGTTTAAAAATTATATTCATCCTCCTCCTCCTGAAGAAGAAAAAAAATTGAATTGAATCAGTACGCATTTAGAAATAATAATTATTGTACATATAACGCAAATTTTTTACATTTTCAGTGTGATAAATGTATTACAATTTTTTAATGTAAACTTTTTAAAAGTTTTCCATAAAAATTTATATTACAAATAATAAATATTAATTTATTTGAAAATGTTTATAAATTTTTTTTTATTTAAGAAAAGAAAAAAAAGTCCTAATCGTAGCAATAATCAATTGATATTTCACAATTTATAATATTTACATTAAAAGTCGTTAAATTTAAAAAAGAAATTGTAAACATTACGCTATAACATGCACGAAAAATGCGCGGAATGGGAAAAAGTTTTGAAACAATTTTAAAAATTAATAAATCATGTTGAATTTTACATCAGTCAGCTGAGATACTAGCTGAATAAAAATGTTATTAGATAATAATTCGGGCCGGTTCGTGAACGAAGTTCATGGGTTAAAATAAATTTTTTTTTTTTTAAAATTTTTAAGTTTTTTTCGTTGTTTTTCTTTTTTTTTGTAAATTGTAAAATTTTAAACAAGTTAAATTTCAGGTCAATGGAGTTTTTCTTAAAATTTTTTCTGTTATAGCAATGGATAATAATAATCAAATTGAAGTAAGGATAAAAAATAAATCCATTTGATATACAATAAAAGAATCAATTTTTTTAAATTCTCACACACCGGATTTATTTAATTAATTATTATTATTATTATTGCAGTCAATAAATTAAAATTATTTTTTTTTAAAAAAAAATAAAGAAGAAATAGTTGTGGTGCCAAAATTCATTGTTATTTTTCTTGCTGAATTTTTTTAAAAATAACCTTTTTTACACTACTAGTGTTCTTTTCTTTTTTTTTTTTTGGCCAAAATAATTTTTAATTTTTATACAAATTAATTAATTATTTTCTAATTCTTTTATTTAAAAAAATATTTTGTATTCAATGTATATTTTTCAAGTTTTTTTTTTTTTTAAATGATATGCTTTATGTCATAAATATATTATTTTACATTATTTTATTATATGTGTATATTTATTTATCATTTATATTAATTTTTTTAAATTTAATTTTAAGTTATTTAATTTGTGTAAAAGTGTATAATATACTACTCGAATACTTTTTTTTTGTCTTTTATGCATTCATTTACTTTAGTAGATAATTTTCTTTAGTATTCTTAACCTTTTTTTTTAGTAAAAACTTATATCTGGCTTATATTATCGAATATAAAATTGTTCGAAACATGTAATTATACGAATAATTTAATTTTATTCTATTCTTATTTTATTGTTCAAATGCTATGAAATTAATAAAAATAATAATAATATTAATAAATTATGATTATTTATGATACAAATATCTAATTTAGTTGTAACTGTACAAATTTTTTCTTTTTTTTTAGGCTATAAATGGAGCAAAAGGAGTTCGATATAGAACAGGAAGATCTGGTCATTCTCATTACGAAGTAGAAACAATTCCGACAGAAAAATCAAAAAAATTTTCAAATGAACACAAGAACTTTCATCCTAGGAGTATATCTCAAAAAAATTTAGTTATTGTTTTTTTAATATATGGAGCATTGTTTGCTCTTCAAATTTATCTAGACAAATATTACCTACCAAAACCTCTCATGTTAGAAAATGCTGGACAAAACAAAGATAAATTCATTGCAGAAAGAGCAATGGCTCGATTAATTAAATTAACCGACATTGGACCTCGAGTAGCCGGAAGTTACGAAAATGAAATTTTGGCTGTAGCTTTATTAAAAAAAGAATTATATAAAATAATTGAAAATTCAAATCCCATTCATAAAATTGAAGTCGACGTACAAAAATATAGCGGATCATTTCCTTTGAAATTTCTCGACGGTCTCACGAACGTTTATAAAAACGTACAGGATGTCGTTGTTAAATTAAATTCAGGTACACCACAGTCACCCCACAGTCTTTTAGTTAATTGTCATTTTGATTCGGTACCTGATTCTCCGGGAGGAAGCGACGATGGAGCCGGGTGCGCAGTTATGTTAGAAATATTAAAAGTTTTATCGATGTCTAATAAACAATTAGAAAACAA